TGCTCAAGCAGCGTTAGCCAGTGCTCGTATTCCTGATTATATACTGAATACACAAAACTTTCATCCATACTTATAGACTCTTGGTCGATCAAAGTCCACATAGTCCCATCACAACCAGATGAGTAACTCAAGTCCATAGGCAATTCTTCTAATGAGCAGTGGCAGTCTGTTTCAAAAAGTGGAAGATTACTGCCATTTCCACCAAGAGAACTAGTGGCCCACTGATCACTGTCTTCTGAACAGGCTTCTTGAAACATTAACTGATCAAAGGATTCACGTGACATTACGCTTAAATCTATACTCTCTCGGTCACAATTCGCATTTGTTCTCCAGTCCATAATATTTGCATTCCCATCCTTCTTGCATAGATTCATTACTGTATCATTTGACACAGACCAGTCTGAAAACTCAGTATGCAGATCAAAGTTCTGGTTTAAGACATACGCTGGTAGTGCTACTTCCCGAGTGTTGGCAGAAAATTCTTCCATGTCATACTCCCATTCAAAGCTAGAACGGCTTCTTGTTTCTTCAAACATTGGATACTGCTCTGGTATGTTATAGGCTTTACCATTCAACAAAGAAAAATTAAGAAATTCATTCGATCCTTCATTTAAGAGAGTCTGATACATTTTAAACTCTGTATCTTGGATAGGGACTTGCCTACCAATTACAGATTTCCCAGATAAGTCTTGTACCTTCTGTTGAGAATACAGATCATTTTGAGATGCAGAGCACCCATGGTAAGGGATTCGGTATTCCTCTGTTTTGTTTACTATTATGTTGGATAAATGATCACTAGTTCTAGAAAATGCAGTCCCTTTTGTATCATGCGATTTTTCTTTTGGTTTGAATATGAAACTTTTAAAAAAGCTGGAAGTTTCTTGTTTTTCCATAGTGGTAGCTTGAGGATCTGAAGTTGTGTCTGAACTACTTGCTTTTTTCTCTAATTGAGGCTCCTCATTTCTATCAAAAAACTTCATGAGGCCTACTGAATTTGATTTTACCTTGTCTTGCTTACTGTCAGACACATCTTCATTGGAAGCAAATTTAAATATCCCAGAAAACAATCCAGGTGAGCTGTTTTTCTGGTTGTCACTTTCATTTTTAACATTCAACTCTTGCCTATTGGGAATCTTTTCAGAAGAAGGAAGCCAAAAACGTCCAGAAAGCAAACCTGCTTGTGGGATTTTCTTTTTTGTATCATCCGTGGTTTTAAGATTGCTCACTCCGTCAGAAGAGATAGATTTTATATCTGTTGTATTGAACCCCGCTGGTCTAGTCATATCCTGTTTTATAGGTCTATTCTTTTCCTGAGCATTCACAGACCCATACTCTGAGTGTGCACCTTTAAATGTGGCTGAGGCACTTGGACTTCTACTTTCCTGTGCACATGAATTATTTTCCTTATTCATGTTTTTTACTCTTATCAGTTCTTCTTTATGGTTTAGTATATTTGGAACTGAAGTAGATTTTAATGAGCAACATTTGACATTTCCTGAATAACTATTGTTGTGTTCATCTTTAACTGCTGAAGTTATGTCACTAAAACTCTGACTGGTTTGATTTTTTGAAGCAACTAGGTTTTCTGCAGAAGCAAATTTAAACCAAGAAGGAAAGGTGCTTCCTTTCTCTTTTGCATTCTGTTGCTTGTCTGAAAAACCCAAGCCACTAAAAAAAGGAATCTGTAATTTACCAGTAAATGGGAAGGAATGTTCATTCATGGAACTGTTTTGTCTTACATCATCTTCAGATCTGTGGCCTTTTGAGAATCCAGATGAGGTTTCTTTTTGCACAGATTCTGCAGAAGGAAGCAATAACTGGCTGAAGGATTTTTTGAGTGGCCTGAAAAAGCTATCAGCTCTACCTTGCTCTGTAGGTTGTGACTGATCCTCCGCTTTTCTTCCACTTTGCCTGTTTTCTAATTCATTACCTGTAGGGCATGGATTTCCTGAAATGTTTATGCACTCTTCAACAGTCACCTCAGGCTGATGTGCCACATGATGAAAATCTGAAGTCTTCTGTGGCCCACCCTGCTGCTTGGATCCTATTAGACCCTCAAAATTGGCTTTCAGGCTAAGGGAACTGACAGAGCTTGTAAGTTTACCAAAGATGGAAGACACAGAATTGCTGCTGCTAGTGTTAACTTCTGCGTCATTTTTAGTTTCATTCTGGTTAGTTTCAGGCACACTGCTAGTGGTTGTGTTCTCTCCAGAGGACTTCATGCTTTTGGGTGTCTCACGAGCATTTGAGAGATGTGTTTCTTCCTTGGTTTGCTCCTCTTTCAGGATTACTTTTTTTGGTACTTCTTTTTCAGAGAAGATCTTTAAAGGGTTAAACATACCTAAAACGGAATTCATAACTGAATGTTGATTCTGAGGGGAAGGCTGCTGGCTCGCGGTGGTATTTTCTGAGGGGTCCTGAAGACACGGCACTGTAGAAGTTATACGGTCTCTCTCTGTGGCTTCTGTTACACTGAAGTTTGCATCACACACAACTTTGTCACTAGTGGTCTGGGATGGAAATAATGCATGTAGGGAA